TTAAAATTCCATCCTAGGGATTCTTGAAAAACTCACACTATCTTAAGAGTTGATAGCAGCCATAAAGGGCAGATATCAATTATCTGTAGCACTGTTACTGAAAGCTGATGTTATGATTATATAATTACTTTCCCATCAGAAAAAAATGGATTTTGAAGAGTTGTATATAATGTGCCAATCCAAAGAGGATATCCTAGAATGAAATATGTACTGTTATTAATAAATTCTTAGTTTTAAAATTGTTTTTCTAGCATGAAGGGCTGAGGATAGATTGGTTAGAGTAAGAGGAGGATCTATTGCCCATTTTTGTCTCCATAATAAGCCAGAATAATCAATCGAGCAATAGTATGAGTAATGGAGATGTCAAGAATATCTTTCTTTGGTTTTTGTCACCTTCATTTCAGAGGAAGGATAGTGATCTATTACAGAATTTTCATACTTCATTATCATTATTCTCAGAAGCTGTTTCAATTCATCCTTGAAGGGTGACTATATGAAGAATGATTATGTTTTTTTCTTTTTAAGATATGAAAATTTTTGAGGTTCCTGATGTGATTTGAAAAATAGTGCTTAATAAATGCAGAGTTTCACAATACAGTGCTTAATTTAGGGACTAATGGAAATGTGAGGGTCTCTTAGGTGAAAGATACTAGATAGAATCATAAAATAAATACGAATTGTATCATGGCAGCTGAACCAAAGTATAAAAATATTGAAGAGAGACTTTGTTTTGAGAGAACTGATTTAGTATTTGTCATAAATTAGAATCTGGATGTACTGCAGAATCATTGTGGTTCATTTATTTTGCTTCTTTGAGGTGGAGCTCTATTTGATAAATTTTATATGTATATGATTATGAAATATTCTGTCTGTTTCATAATCCCAGACTTGAACTTTCTGACAGAAGCAACATATTATAACTTCTTATTTCAAAGCTGTGCTTTTCAAAAAGAGGCTGAAAAAAAAAAGAGGCTGGCTTCTTACCGTGATACTTTCTAGAAGATAGGGATCTTTTTGTCTTGAAAAAAAAAAAGAATCTATGTCACTATGAATCACTTTGTCACTATGAATTTTTAAAAAAGTAACTGTTGGGGGTTGAGTTAGTTCTACTTTTTGGGGGTGAGGGTACTGGGAATTGAACCAAGGGCCTTTCCACTGAGCTATACCCTGTCCCTCTGACCACTTTTATTTTTTGAGAATAGGTCTTGGCAAGTCACTAAGTTTCCCAGCCCAGTAATAGTCACACAGCATAGTCTAGGCAATTAAAAGATCATTATATTATTTCAAAGTGTTTACTGTGTTACCTTTGAGCACTTTTTAAGAATTACTAAAATTGCAAGTATAAGATTATTATGGTTTGAATTTGGAGTTGCAGCACTAATGTTACAGTTTTACGTGTGTGTGTGTATTTTCCCTAAGCTCATTTCCTTAATTTCTAGTTCATTCAAGGATTTGGTATTCCAGTAGTGACACTGATACACTGATGTTATACATAGGAGTTTGTGTTATTTTGTACCTATCTAATGTCTTTCTTAATGTGCCTATTTTAGCCCACAAGAATGTATTTTACTAAGAATTTTTAAAGCTATAATTAATTATAATATGCCTTTCAACTAGAGGTAGCTTGGCAATTAAATAAAATTGTTGCAGTGATGATTGTTTAGAGTCATAGTAGACAGGAATTGGATGGCCTGTGTACTCTTTTCTAAAGTAGTGATATGTTTTAATAGTAAATTAGGAGATGGGAGACTCACTGTAGCTGTTTTCCGTTCATGTTTCTAATATATAATGTTATTAAAGATTATCTGTTCTCTTCATTTGAATTATTCATTGTCAGTAGTAAAAAATGGTTTCTTCATATTAGAATTCTGTATGTCGGGTAGGGAAAGGTTTTGTTGGATATTTTATTAGATGTATTAAAAATGCATATGTGGAGTTAGTATGTCTGATTTGCTGTGTTTGAGTTTCTGGGAAAATAGGCTGCAAATAACCGGTGATTGATGTACCATATTTGTAAGAAACACTTGAGTCAGACAGACAGGGATGGCTGGCTGGATGGTGTCTTAATGCTGGTTAGTTTGAACATAACCCAGAACATAACTATAGGTGGGATCCCCAGCACAACCTCATATTTGGGCTATGAGCTTTTTGTGTCAGGGGAGGTGTGTGTATACAAAGAAAGCTCATGTAAGTGAATTGGTGCTTCACACCCAGTAGCCCCTGATGGAAGGAATAGAGAAAAGTGTACTGTGTGTCACTTTGCCTTTGAAAGACAGGTTCATTGATGCCCAGTTCATAGAAGCTGAGAAAAAAATGCCTGCAGACTTCCTGTAGATGGAAGGAAGTTCTTAGAAATTGAAGACAGCTGAAGCAGGTACATATATTTTCTCCAGACTTTTAGAGAGGAGTGAAGGAGAAGTGGAGAGTGGACAGGAGCTTTCTTCTAACTGTGTGTACTATATTTGAAAGGAATAGAAGTGCCTTTAACATGAAGTCCTAGGAGTTCTTCATGTCAAATTATAGTAAAATTTGTTCAGTTTCCTCAAGGAAATCTTTAACTTCATTTAACATTAGTGTTATTTGGCGCCTACAAATTCAAACCAGTGGCGGGGTGGTGGGAAGTTCGAGTGCTGGCCCTGGTTCGGTCGCCTTCATCCATGGACCTAATCCAGGCCTTCTGTAGGAAACTGCAGTTCCTGGCCAGCATGCTAGACTGCGAGATGGCCCGGTTGCAGCAAGTGCTGGACGGAGAGGACAGCGAATTTGAAGATGATCCAATGAGGATTTTACATGACCTTCATTCAGAAGTCTGGGCTCTGAAGGATGATGTTAATATTCTTCTTGATAAAGCAAGATTGGAAAGTCAAGAAAGCATTGGTTTTATTAAGGCAACAAAACTACTGATGAAAAAAAAAGCAACGGATATCATAAAAATAGGAGAGTTTTTCCAGAAGTATGGATATAATCCACGTGTCAAGGAAAATTCAGTCTCTGAACAAGAAATCACTGATTCTACTCCAAAGATGGCTAGCTGTGATCATGTTCAAAAGCCTCGTGGGAAGGACAACCTGTCTGATCTGTCTGTCCCAGGTGGTTCAGTTTCTGAGGAGCCTCTGCATAGTCCACAGCTTGTAGATTTTGGACTGGAGCAGTATATGATATCTCAGGTTCTACCAAATCCTCCACAAGCTGTAAGCAACCACAAGGAAGACCCCATAATTGAAACTCTACCTACCAGACAGTCAGTAGTTAAAATTCTAAAAACTCCAAAATGTGCTCTAAAGATGGATGATTTTGAGTAACTCCTAAATTAGAGCATTTTGGTATCTCTGAATATACTATGTGTCTACATGAAGATTATTCAATAGGACTGAAAAATATGAAGACTATCAAATGTGAGATGGCTGTAGAAACAGAACCCATGATCAGTGATAATAGCTTTGCCACTCCTGGCCCCATAATGCAGCAGTTGGAAAAAAGAGATACCAAGTATACAGATTCCCCTTTGACACCTACGTTCTGCACTCCTGGTTTGAAAGTTCCTTCTACAAAGAACAATACAGCTTTGGTACCCACAAACTATGCATTATCAGAAACACAGTTCATCAAATGATTTTGAAGTTAAAGATTGTACTTCATTAGTTTTAAGTTCATATCAGTGCTTGGAGAATTTTGCAAACCTCTCCTCTCCTACAATTTCATCTTATGAGAATCTGCTCAGAACACCCACACCTCCAGAGGTAACTGCTATTCCAGAAGATGTTCTCCAGATTTTGTCAAAATACAACTCAAACCGAGCTACTTCAGTAGCAGTGAAAGCAGTGCCTCCCAGAAAAGAGCTCCTCAAAACTGAAGGATGGAACATCCCAGAGGTTGGCAGCAAAGAAAACTGACAAAATTCTACTGGATCCATCCATTATAGAAACTGAACAGACTTAAGAACGAAGCAAAGCTGGATTTGTTATTTACATTCCTTTCCCATTACAGGGGAATAAGGATCAGAAAGGTTTATTATAGATGGCAATAAAGATTTAGGTATTGGCTTGTCTGCAAAAAAAAAAAATAGTGTTATTACTCATACTCTTAGCCTTAAAATGTTAACAGACAAAAAAGAAACCCCATTTCGTCTTTTTTCCACATTTTAAACAGGTTAGCTACACTACAATGTCTTACTTGTATGAGTCTTGAAAATTGAATAAGTTGAGAGAATAGGTTCTGAAAAGACTTCAGATGACATGATTTGTTGTCATGATATTTTTATAAGTATAAACTTTATATAAATTGTAATCTAAAAGCTGGGAGCTGTTTGGATTGGTCCTAGACTGTGAATGACAATTGGGAAGCCCAGCTGTACAGATACATAATGTCTACTTTGGGGCTAAGGAAAGACTAGTAATGTTTCACTGAGAAATCTCAGTGTTGAGGTGAGACCTGCCTTTTTGGATCCCCCGTTGAGGGAGCAAAATCTGGTATCATTTAAATCCTTTATGTCCTCTTGCTTGATTATCCTTGAGAAAGCAAACTTTTCCTTTGATACGTACTCACAGAAAGCTTTGAATATTGCATAGTATAATATTATAAGAAAATAAAAACAAGTTTCTTAAAGTCTGATCTTGATTATTCTGCTATAGTTCATGAGAACCCTGTTTTGTTCTCCCTTTTTGTTTGTTTGTTTGCCTTTTCTTTTGGTCATTTTATCTGTAAACATTTTTTGCAGAAACAAGGAGAGAAGGAGATAAAATCTAAATCAAATTATTTTTCTTTTTTTTTTTTAAACTTGTAACATTTAGCTTCAAACTATGCATAAAAGACTGGGGAACCAGTCCTCCCAGACTGGGAAGCTGAAAATATTCCAAAAATGAGTTTTGTTAAAAACAAAGTGGACATTTTAGTTTTTCTATAGCATTTACTGGACCCTTAGTTGAACTAATATTGATGCTTCATGAGTTACCCTTTGTATATGTGTGTGTGTGTCTAACCTTTTCTTTTTTCAATTTCAGTTGATCCTATTAAGATACTAATGCCATCCCTGTCTCCTACGATGGAAGAAGGAAACATTGTGAAGTGGCTGAAAAAGGAAGGTGAGCAAGCACATTACTGATGTTTTCTGTGCTTTCTTATTTGACCATTTTCACTTTTTCTAATGTATTATATTACAAAATGCATGATATAAATAAATTGTATTTCTTGATAGTTAATGAAAATTTGTTTGAATAAAAATGTCCCATGTTCACGGAACAAAGTTTTCTGGGTTTGCCCTGTGTCTCTTCACAAGGTCAAGATGGTAAAATATTTGAACGGGTTTTTCTTCCAAATTTTAGTCCTTCTTTCTAGCTTTTACTTTCAACACTATAAATTTGTTAATCCCTTGGTTTTTAACTATTATAACTGTGTGTGTGTGTGTGTGTGTGTGTGTGTTTCTATGTGTGTGTGTTTTCTTGTAGCTAAGCAAGTTGATTATAAATTTCATTGGAAAGAACAAATGAGTAAGAATAATGAGGAGTGCCCCTAAAGGGAGAACAGTAGAGGAGAGGCTGGTAGCCTACTAGTTATTGAAATATATTATTAAGGCTCTCAAATTAAAACTGAGATTGCTGCTTAAAAAGACAGACTAATGAAACTGCATAGAAAATGAGAAGTAAATATACATGGATTTTAGTGTTTAATGAAGAGAATACTAGATTTATTGTTTCTGTACTGCCAGGGATAAATTGTACATGAATTAGATACTTAACAATCCAAAAAACAACCATATACTATAAATACTAGAAAATAATTGAAAAATTTTGCTGATCCTGGAAGTAGAATAGACATTCTGTAACTCAAAATGGAGACACAATTGGGAGAAGATTGATAAATTTGATAATAAATATAGTAACTTTTCTGTAGCTGAAAACATGGTAAGTCAAGTAAAAAAGTGATAAACTGAAAGAGTATTTGTAGTTTATAAGAATAAGACTATCACCCTTGTTGCTTTTGCTACCATGTGGACATTATCAACTGTTTCTCCTCTGCAATGCCCCTCTTCTATGTGCCACTCTGCTTTGGAGCCAACTGGTAATGGACTGAAATGTCTACAAAGTGCATTGACTCAGTCCCAACTTTTGGCTCTGTGAAGCTGCCTTCACCTATAATTCTCTCTGAAATTCCAGAGTGTAATTCACTGTGGAATTAGCATTGGCCAACATTAGACCATTCTGGCCTACCAGGGACTAAATGTGAAGACCCTTCTTTGAGCTTTCAGATAACCAGGTGATCCATGGGCACATCAAAATTTGAGAAGCAGGCCAAGGAGCAGAGCCACGCCAGTACTGAGGAGGAGCCTTCTGGGCAGCCATACCACCGCCCCCAGTGCCAAGGTGAGCCATGCGGGTGCCAACAGCGGGTGCCAACAGCAACCCCCCCCCCCAATATTGAAATGAGAAGACACATAAACAAGTCTCAAAACCAGACTTCCAGATCACCTAAACCAACCCCAAAGGGAAATGAGATGGAACAATCTGATATTCAACCACCTGGGCTCCCTGAACTGGCAACAAAAAAGGATCTGGAAAAAATGAAATCAGAAATAATTTCTCAGATAACAGCAGAAATTGTGCCCATAGTGCAAGACATGATTAATAAATCTAGAGAGGACACAGATTTAAAAAAAATAGAGGAGCTGAGGAA